ACACTTTTGCACCTGCAATCACTTACACCATTTGTGCATGCAGTTATTATATCTGCATGCATAAATGGGAATGCATTATGCAAATAACCAGTTATTGATGTAATTGGTCACTGGCTTACACAGTTACTGGCAATTTGCATGTGCAGTGCTGGTACCTTTCTGAATAAATCCAGCACACTCATGCAGTTTTGAAAACACATGCACAGCATCTGAATCACTGCGTGTAAGGAGAACCTAGCAGTGCTTAATGTGGCTGACAGAGTGTCACCTAAGCTAAGAAACCTGGTGACCCAAAATGCAAAGTGTAAAACCTCTCCCTCCACCTGACTTACAAATAAGCCTTCAGCAATAATCATACTTTTCTTCCAAAAATTTCAATTTCATACTGATTAGGAGCTATTACTTGGGACACAAGGCAACAGATTTTCACCTGACCAGCAGCAAGCCTGTTTTCTTTTTAGTGGTGCCCCTTCTACCTGTCATTCCCACTTTATATCACTTCCCAGTTAATACTTCTTTATGGAAAGGCTCATCAGAGTCCACAGCATAGTTCGGGGCAATGGATTATGCAGACAGTCTGGACATTAAGCAGCTTAATGGCAGCATGCCTGCTCTGGAGAAAAGAGGCAGTGACATGCATGGCAGGTCACCAAGAGCTGTATTGTTTTATTATTATCCAGCCTAAGTTATTTAGACCCTTTCAAAGGTTTAAAGGCCTGGTTCCCAAAGTGTCAGGCACTGCACAGGTACAAACCAGCACACTGGACTCTGTCCCAGAGGTGCTGTGTACTGAGGGGGCAGTAAACAGGGGGAGAGAACACAGTAATGGCAGCAAACATCATACCTGTTCCACAATACTTTTGGAGATGGAGATGAACCAGGAAAGCAAAGAGAATGGGGGAATAAGGGGATGAAGCCAGAGGGCACAGAAAGAGAGGGGATGAGAACAGAGAGGCAATCAGAAAGAAAAATGGCCAGTCCAACAGTGGAAAATCTTGTATTTTCCTGGGAACTTCTTTTTCAAGGCCATTTGAGGAGTGTTTGGGAGGGTACTCAGTTCTGCCTGAATACTGGTGATGAGAAAGTACTTGCATAGACTGTACCTCAAACAGTCCATAGGAGACGACACAGAAAGGAAAATCTGTTCCCCTTCCCCTTAGTCCAAGAGGTCCTGCCTGCAGCAGCTCCCCCTGGAGATGTTGCTACCTTACAAATACCAGGCTGGGGGAAAAAACACTTCTGCTACTCTTTACTGCATAAAAACCTTCATTTGCAGTCTCTAGGAATGAAAGACTTTTTAATTTCCATCTCAACATTATTCTCATTCCCAGTGTTTTAATGTTGTGAAAACTGCCTAGAAACAAAGACACCAGCTTAAGACTGTAAAATTTTAATGCTTACTATATTTTGCTTCCTTTTTGTTTGCATGTAGGTTTTAGATCCATCAGATTTATGCCTTTCAAGCTTTTCAATGCAGTCAGAAGGAACGAAACCTTTTTTCTTGGGTGTTTTTTTCTTTTAATGAGGCTGGCATTTTCTTACTAAGTATCATTCTAGAAGCTTGAATTTCAAGAAAGACATGAACTACCAGTCAGTATCCCTACAAAACTACAAGGGTTTGCAGCACTCCCAAAATACTGACCCCACCAGGCAGCCCGATGAGGTGGTCAGTGCAGTGGTGGGGTACTTACATGGCTGTACAGGGCCTTCTGTGCCTCACCCTCCCAAACCACCCCACTCCAGATGAGAGTGCACTATGGAAGATGAACTGTGAGCACTTTGGGACTCCTTAGACCTTGGAGGTCAAAGATGGGGAATGAGATTTAACTACTACAAATAACCACTGTAAGAGGACAAACTTCACAGGACCCACTATCAGAGCTTAGCATATGGCTTGTGTGGTGATGAGTTAACTGTACCTGATACTCTCCTCATGACAGATGCTATTCCAAACCAGGCAATTTGTAGATGTCTTGCTCTGGCCAACATCTGGGTGCACCTGTATGTGCCCAGTCCTGCAGGGCTGGTCTCTGTGGGGCTGCACCTCTGCTTGCTGGCTGTGTCTGACATCACATAGACAAGTACCAGAAGTTGCAGAGGTCACCGTTGGGAGCAGGGTCCTGATACTCCACCGAGTTCTATGCAGAATGGATGCTCCACAATGAGCCAAGGGGACTGTTTGCCACGGCACAGCCATAACAGCTTTTCAGCACTTTAAATCCACCCACAGAACTTGTCTCATTTGGAAAAAAGCTAGTATTTCAGAAAGCACAACTTTCTAAAACAATCTCCCCCATCTCATCACACTATGCCTTATCTCCTCTCCCTCGTACACTACAGCCACTGTCCAGGCTCAACCCTCCATCTGCACAGCAGACCACTGCCCATGACACCAAACTGCATCTCCTCACTGTGCTGCATCAGACAGTTCAGCAAGCCCAGCCCTTCAATCTCCCCAGCAGGGACTTCCTGAATCTCCTGCCCAGTGAAGAAAGGCTGCCCTTCTGTGGTCCCAAGGAGTTTCGAGGAGCGTGATGTACATGGGGCCATGCAGGCAGAGGGCTGGCAGCTCATCTACAGCTGAGCCCTCCCTGCGATGCCTCTCCCCTTCACTCCTGGGCACAGCAGTCCCATCCCTACCCACAGGCAATGCAAGGTGATGCTCATCCCAAAAAGACACCGTTCTGCACCCGCCAAGCGCACGCAGGTGGCAACCACTTGGGGTTCGAAGGTGTGAGCTCTGGTTTAGAAGCTTATTCGTGATCATTTCACAAGTTCCTTATGAATCCTGGCAGAGAAAGGGGTCTGTTGTGCGTGTAATTTAAAATAGTGAAAGCCTGCAATGGAGACAGCATCGCCTGCAATGACAGACATGTGTTTAGCTGCTCATGAAAATTAAATACAGAAACCACTTTTCCCCTAGCAAGCCTCTTACAAACCTACAGCTCCCTTCTGCTGCTGAAAGCATACAGGACGGCTTCAGCAGCACTCCTGATAAAACCAGACAAGCCCCATGAGCAATGGCATTGTTAGTGTGTGTAAAAAATAAAGCACAGACAGCTTGGTCCCTTCCAACCCAAACTGTTCTATGATTCTCTGATTCCTCCCAACACTATTCCCTGTTAAAAAACCATGAGGGGACACAGCTTCTAGAGGCTGCTGATTCTTCCTGTCTCTGGGGCAAAAGCAATTTTGGCAGAGAGGTGCAGGATGATTGCATGCCACTGACACTATGCGAAAGGATGGATCTCCTCCACTGAGAAAGTGAGAATAAATTCCCTGCCTGAAACAGAAGGACTGAAGCCATTCAAAACGCAGCAGATTTTCCAAGAAGCATCCGGTGTTACATTACTTCCACATCAGAAATAAGCGATAGGTGGGGAAAGTAACACCCGGACTGAGGAGAACAGACTCTGTAGAAGGAAAAGTGGCTTTTTGGATGACATTGATAAGTTCCTTCAGAAAATTCAATTTCCTTAAATGTGAAAAACTTCACTTTTAACGTTACCCAAATGACCTTTTGGGCTTTCAGAAAAAAGAATTCATTGCCTCAGGAGGAAATCTGAAGCATTAACTAAAGATGATATTTGCTACGTATTTAACTTCTTGTTAACTCTTATTAAGGGTCTTCCTCATTAAAAACTGTTAAACCACTTCCTGAAATAATTTCCTGAGGAGGTAGCACTTTGGTATATGCCACGAGGACTGACTTTCATACCTTAACTTCAGCCAGCCTTTGGTGTTAAGTTCAGTCAGAAACTCCTTGTCTAACACAGGCTGCTTGCTCTTAAGATCTGATGTATCCAACAGAGGATATGTACTCAGAGCACCCTTATTTCTGTGGGCATTGTGCCCTTGTGTGAGTGTGTGGGTGTCGTGCTGTGATACCTGAGGGAAGCCCCTGAAGGCAGCATCCAAGTCTTTATGCTGGAGGAATGATACCCTGACACTCTGCTGCAGAACATCTCCAGCACAGCAGCAGGAATCCAGCCAGTGAAGTGGTCAAAGACTGAGCTGAGGACAAGGAAACGCAGGGAAATGTGCATGGTGGTAGCTCCAAATGAAGATAACTGAAAAAAAGAGCCAAGACAGAAAACTGGGAGTGAATGGCAAGGTGAATATAGGGCTTACACAGACTGCGTTAAATCCTTGGACTTCAGGCACAAATCACTTTAAGGGTGGAAGTCACAGCCCATTGTTTTCCCAGCTAATTCATCAATCTCTCATTCAAGCAGGTGTAAAGGATACGTGAGCATAATTTCACGGAGTAATGCTGCTTCACTTAATTACAGGAAGATTTTCCCTATCTCTAAATGCTTCAACTGGCAGTGCCTTGTGCTTATCCCAGCATGCAGGGTATAACTTCAGTACCACAGCTACCATTGCGAGCAGCGCTGCACCACCACACTGCCCCTCGACAAAGGCCAGACGCCCAAGTGTTGGGTCCCTGGGAGGCCACTGCAACACACAGTACTTTGGCATGACACCTCGATCCACAGTGTCACTTCTAGTGAAGTCTGCACAAAATCAGAAACAGGATTCAAAGGGCTGGTGGGAAGTGACCAGGCAGCATCGCCCAATGGGTCCACACTCTGCCTCAGGATGCTGTGTTATGGACCATGATAGTGACATCTCTCCTCATGAGGTCAGCCAAACCGGCCTGCAGTGTGTGCATTGCTCACCCCACACCCTGTGTGCATAACTCTGAGCAGCCGCTGGAAGGGGCTGGTACTCCCCCGCCGATGCTCTTCAGGAGCTGTTAACTCTCAAACCTAACGATGGCCCCACAGCAGCGCTGCACCCGCACCGCGGCACCTGCGACGCCCTCCGCGGGGGCGTGGCCCCGCGCTCCGCCCCGCGCAGATGGCGCCGCCCGGCCAATGGGAGCGCAGCCCGTCAGCTGACCCGCGGCGCCTACCCAGGTGCGCGCCGGCGGCGGCACAGAGCGGGTACTGGCACTGTGGCCATCCGCACCGTTCCGCCTTCCCGGGGAGCCAGGGGAGAAGGGAGGGGAGGAAGGAAGAAGGAATCCCGCCTCCCGCCGCCCCGTTTCCGAGCCGCGTCGCTCCGCAGCCCGGAGCGGCGGGACCGCGGCAGCGGCGGATGTGCCGCCCCCCGCGGGCAGCCCCGGGGGAGGAGACGCGGGAGCTCGGGCAGCGTTCCGCGGCCGCCGGTAAGTGCCTCCGCAGCACTCGGGGGAGGGAGCCGGGCCCTGGGGCGCTCCGCTCCGGGGCGGTGCGGTGCGGAGCGGTGTGGTGGTGCCGATCCCCGGGGGCCTGGCCACGGAGCTGTATGGAAGCAAAGTTTGCGGCACCGGCCGCGCCCCCCGGGCAGCCGGCGGTCCCCGGCCGCTGGCGGGGAAGTTCCAGCGGGCACCGAGGTTTCCCGCTGCTGGTGGCGATTTCGTACCTCGCCGGGGCTGGGGCCGCTTCGCCCGCACCCCGGGGGACGGCGGGACCGCAGAACGGCCGGGCTGCAGCGTCGGTTGCCGTTTCCCGGCCAGCTCTGCCGCTCGGTGTCCCGGTGGCGGCCCCGTACCTGCGGGGGGCCGGGCCGGCTGCGCGGTGGGGCCAGCGGCTCCCGGGCTCGGCCCCGCGGGCAGATGGGGGCGGGCGGCGGCAGATGTCTCGCCGCCTCCATTCACCCGGCGGGGTCTGGAAGACAAGGAGTCTTCAGAGGAACAATGGCTCTTAAGAAACCGGCACAAAGGCGCAGTGTGAGCGCCGCGGCCCCGCCACCGTCCCCCGAGGGCCGGGGTCGTTGTCCGCGGAGCGGCCGCTCCGCACCTGCGTCCCCCAGCGCGGCGCGGCGGGGCCGGGAGCGGGCTCCGGGGAGCCGCTCGCCAGCAGCGCGGGGCGGCTGCGGTCCAAACGCTTTCCTTGCGCAGGAGAGGGGCACCCAGAGCGGCCCCTTGGGGGGCTCCGCTATCGGGTGAGGAGGGGCTGAGCGGCGGGGGCTCGTCAAGCCTGTGAGAGAGGGGGGAGCGCAGCGTGCCCGCTCCGTCCCACCGGGAGAGAGCGGCAGATGTCGGCCTGCCATGTCACCTCCTCCCCCAAGTCATTTAGTGCTGGTTCGGCGAGGTTGAAGTCATTTAGTGCCGTTCGGCGACGGAATTAAAAGTAACAGAATCTCACCGAAAGTAGAAAATAACGTTATGCAGAGGCAGGGGCTCACGCACAGGGTGCCTGTGTTTCTGTCCTGGAGCTGCGTGATAGTTCCCAGTAATGAATTTCCTCAATGAAAACTAGTTTGTGAACCTTTAAGCCTTTTTCTCACAGGCTTAAAGGATCACTGTAAATCAGAGTTGGCATTTCTGAACAAGACTGTGAACCCCTATGGAGAATAGTTAAGATGTAGGTGAGGCAATACCACAGAGGCTTCGAAGGACTGGAGTCACATGCTGAACCAGTCCCAACCACTGGCCAAAGGCCACACCAAAATATATCCAGAAGTCTTGCAAGCTGGACTTTAAATTAAGACAGACACAGAGAGAGAGAGAAACCAGTGCAAGAAGCTCCCCAGACCAGGCAGCAGCCTCTTCCCCCCTGGGGTCTCTGAACAGGCAGCCTCCAGGTGTCCTGCGCCCAAAACACTGCAGCAGCCCAAAACTGGTGAACCCGGGCTGTGCTAGAGACGTGGTTTAACTTGTGCCTCGACAGGTAAAAAGTTCTCTGAATAGAACTGTATGTAGTCCCTATAAAATCGTACATCCTCATAGGCATTTTGGACTTAAATAGACCAGTTACTGTGACAACTAGCAAGTAATTTCCGTTCAGCTAAAACAGACATCATTAATACTACCGATTATTAAGGGAATAGGTCTTTGCATCAAGTTGTATAAAAAGATAAAACTTTTTAATGCTTAACTATGGAAACCCTTCACTGGCGTGAATAATGCTGAGTGCATCACACTGCAAAAACAAACTTCTGCTCCGTCTGGTGTACCAGGGCTCAGACGATGGCGTAGGCACAGATCAAGCTTGGATGCTAGAAGAGCCCTGCGTTAAAGCCAGTCTTTTGATTCCAACTCGTGGAGAAAACGTGATCACTTAAAGCTTGGCCTTAGCTAAAGCTTTCATCACCTTATTATAAAGTACTCCTCGGTACTTGAGGGAATCCGAACAGCCGCTGGGATGCGGTGCGGCGGCAGCCCACGCGGAGGTGATGCTGCAGCCTTTTGTTTCACTTCTACACAGTATCGTGGCACTGCAGAAGCCAGGGAAAACTTTTGCGGCTCAGCGTGCTGTATTCCTGCTGTATTCCTATTGCATCCGTCCATCAGCAGGCTGCTGCTATCAGCTCCTCCTGATTTGTTTGTAGGGACACTTAAAGCATTTGGGATGAATTGTAACCCAGTCAAGTATTACTGGTACTGCAGCTTGCATAGTGTAACATGTACTGAAAACGTAATTTGCTTGCATTATTGAGTGTATGGATTTTTTTTTGTTGGAGTTTATATCATCCCCAACAAGAAGGAGTTTATTTAAACAATATTTATTATTTAATTTCTTGTATGAATTGTTCTGAAGTTTTAATTTCTGTTAATGATCTGAGTGAGTCAGTAAGGTTTTTTCATTTTGGTAGATGGGTGAGATCCCTGTGCCACGTTATTTCTGCCTCTCTTGGAACTGCTGCTTCCCCAGGCAAACGCCTCGGAGCACGCCTGGTCCCAGGCTGGGCTTTGTGTTAGGCTCAGAGTCGGATCAGGCATCAGCAACAGACAAAAGCATAGAAAAGTTCAGTGATGGTTCTAGAAGAGCACTTGCTGTTGGCAGCATCTCTTTATTTTTTTCAACCAGCAAAGTCTCAAGGTGCTGAAAACACTTGCTGAAGAGCCAAGCGTTTTCAGAAACAAAAATCACTTTCTTTTCCTTCTCACTTCGTAACTATGGAGGAGGCTGTTCTTTGAAGCCAGCCCTGATTAATATAAATGAGTTGTAATTTTCTGACCAAGCCATCCTAGCTCCCATAGATTATTCCATTGGCAGACATGTGGGCTCCACAGCTGTCCCCTCATTTGTGTATGAAATGGAAACACTGGTGGCATTTGTAGGTTACCATAGTTACACGAACAATACACGTGTGAGGCTTCATCCTGCCAAGCTCCAGATTTTTTCCTGGCAGACATTTTGGAGACTCAGGACTGAAGAAAATCTATGTAAAGTTTTTGGAAGGACATAAATCCATTTCTCCTCCTATCTGTTTATATAATGCTAATTAACAGGGAACCCGCATTTCAGCCTCACGACAGCTGATTTTTGCATCTTCTCCCAGTTGGAAATGCCACTGTGGGAGATGCATGATGCTCCCAGGAACCATAAATTCCAAGCTCCAGTCAAGAGCATTTAAGTTATTAGCAGGGTCTGGCTTTAAATGCTGTGGCAAATACAAACCACATCTTAGAAATAACTCTCAGCACAGCAAGGTCTCCACAAAACAGAACTTTGGAGTCAAGCTAGTTTTTCTCCTGGTTGTGTCAGGCAGGTTGGCAATGCCTGTTGGGTTCCCGAGGAGCAGAGCCAGTCCCCACCATGCCTGCTCCATCAGGAGCACCTGCACAAATCCAAGAAAGAGCACTGAAAAGTATTCTCACACTCTGTTTTCTCTCTTCAGTTAATGCATACCCGCTACAGGAGGGAAGATGGGCAAGAGTAAAGAAAATCATGGAGCTGGATTAGAGACTGGTTTTGTTGGTATATCATAAAAGCAGCAAATAATAGTGTTTCTCTAAGAGTTGGGAGTACTTAAATTCTGCAAAGAGAAATCAAAGTAGTCCTTTGATAAGAAACAGGTCTACTGAGTCTACTACAAGTGCTTGAGTTTAGTCAGTGACTTTCCCAGTCTCATTCTTTTCCTGTAGCTGAGTAGTTAAGCCCTGTGCTAGTGGACTTTATAAGGTCAGGAACAGAACATGCCTCCATGCAGGTTTAAGAGGCACCTAGATTAAAGTCCTAGTACACCACATTCTCTTACCTCCTTGCTGCTTAAAGCCCTGCAACTTTACTCAAATTTGTTTTGCTATTTAGATGCTGTCTTTCATTTTTCTGCGTACGGCACTGAAGGAAAATACTGGATTGGCCTATTTTGGATTGGCCTAATTCCCCTCCTGTTGAAGGCAGCAGAAGTCTTTGGCATCAGTGGGAACAGAATTAGACTCTGTTCTTAAATTCTACTGCAAAATGGTTTTTTCCTTCATCTTCTAATTCATAAGATCTTCATCTGGTGATACAAGCCAGCATTTTCTTGACTTCCAGCTGGCTGAATTATCAAAGGAACAGGGTCTAGTTTTCACACGGACCACAGTTTCTAAAGGTCAAATCTGAGATGGAGCGGATACCTACTGCTTTTTTCTTCTTAACTTAAAGAACAACAGGGTAAAGCAATTGTAAGTAACAGCCTTGAAATATTTAACAGGATGCTGTACTGAGAACGACCAGGAGTTATAAAAGTGCTGTAGAGAAACAGCTCCTTCCCTTATTTTATTGGGTACTGCGGTCTTGCTGTGTAATTCTCTCACCTAAGCTACTGCCCTTTAGTCCTCTGTGGTAACACTGGGCAGTATTTTCCCTTGCCACTTCACAAACTGAAGGGGTCCATTTAACACTGGAGGCAAGGATTGCTCATGGGTTTTGCTTAGAAATTCTAGAGATTGTCAGCATCTTGTTTCCAGGTATTTAATTTAACAAACTGATGATTCCAGCAATTTATCCATCTGTCACCTTTGATTAGAGCAGGAGTCCCAACCGCTTTTTGAAGCCAAGCCCCCCTCAAGGTATCTGGCAGGGTTTGCATTTTTCTGGTTACTCCAGTGTTACTGAATGCCAGGATGGCAGCAAGATGTTCCCACCAACGGTGAGGTGAGGTGCAGCCCCTCACCTGCATCAGCCATGTCCCATGAGGCAGGGGAGGAAGCAGGGATGGGCAGTGTGCGGAGAGGGCTCTTATGTCAGAAGGCAGCAAAACCCTAGGCTGGTGTCAGGGTGTGTGCTGCTCTTTATGCATGATGCTCCAGGAATAGGCCTACAGTGGGGTCTACCACTGCCCTGCCTGCGTCCCGGTGGGACAGCACAGCCCCATTTCCCAGGGATCACCAGCAGGGAAGTTTCCCCACTTTTGGGACCAGCATCATCAGCTGGGAGTCACTTGCATCATCTCTAAGGAGTTGCTTTTGTA